ATAAAGATGCTTCTAAAACACAGCAAAAAAACATTGAATAGAGATAGTCAAAATGGTTTTGCGACCGGGATCGGGATCAAAATTTTTCTTTTGGCCAGAATCAGGATGGGACCGAAAAGGTTGGTCCCGCTTAAATCTTGATTCAAAGTGTTCATCAAAGGAAGTTATCAGATTGATAATATTAAAGTGCCAAAACAAAAGTTGGAAAGAGAAAGAGATGCGAGCGCATTTTGCAATATCCAAGATCGGTAGCTTATAGAAAACTATAAGATCATCGTTTTCCAATATGTCAAGCATGCAATATTAAGTTTTCCCGGGCAACGCCGGGTACTTCAGCTAGTCTATATATATACTTCTTTTAAATGAATGTAAATGTTGGTTGTTTGTGAAAGAGAGAATGATTAAGAAACGAAGTAATCAACCTTAGACAAGACCTTGATATCATTTGATTATTTCAAAAGGAGATGATTTTATTATAATTTGTAGCTTATACATGAAACAAAATCTAGTAATACCCAATGTTTAGAAGAACAAGAACAATATTTTTGTTTTTATATAATCTATTATATATCTGTATATTTTTTTTTATTAATGAAATAATAAATTCCTTATTTAAAAGGAACAAACAATATTAGGAGTAATTTTAATGAATTAATTATTAAAGTAAAAAAAGAACGATGATAATTATTTTCAATACACAGCTATGACATATTAGAAACAACCATCATATCCAAAGACGAAATCTTGATGTTTGAATATCATTATGACTGTTTGGAAAACGATTTTGAACCATTAAACGATATAGTTCAACTTTTTTGTATGAAGTTTTACCATAAATATTTAAGTAGACCAGCCCTTTTAATTGTTCAACTAACTCACAAAGATCTTCTTCAAAAACACGTACATGTTGAACTAAACAAGACAAAATCATTCTCTTCCCTTAACAAATCAATTTTTATCTACGTACGAATTGATTCAGATGTTCGTAAAGTTTTTTGCCATCGTAGAATTAAAATCCCATATCTTCTTGAAGGAATATCTGGTCGAACTTAAAAGCAAAAATCAAAAATAATGAAAAAAATATTTCTTTTTATCAATACATATTTTATTTTATTTTTCCTCCCTGAAAATTACTCATGAGAGTCACAAAATAGAATAATTATGCGTCATTTATTTGTTACTATATATCAAAAGAGTAAAGATGTAACTACGCAAGAATAAGACATCTGACTATCTTATTAACATTAATTACCACACACTTCAACACACATTTTTCTCAATAATTCTAAGTTCGACAGATTGAATATTGGTACATATCTCTACTCATTACTTACTTGATGTCCATGGAAAATCATCCAACCTCCAAAGACATAATGTTTTTAAATGAGGCATAAAAGTACCAAGAACCGATACAAGATGTTTACCAACATGAACGGATTCATTATAACCAAAATTACAACTTGTAATGCCAAACTCAGCATATTGAACAGCACTTAATGCATCCTTTCGCAAATCATCAAATGCCTAAAGATAATATGAGAAAATTATTTCATTCAATCATATCAAATGATTGAAATTTATTGTTTTTATCATCATCTAATTAGCAAATAACAGTTTACTAAAATGATTACAACTTAATTTCCAACATATATAAAGATTAGTATCATAATAAATAAAAGTTTATCACAATTCTCTTAAAATCAATCTATATTACTAATGTTCAGTGTATCTGTACCGGGTCAAAGAAGACTATGAAGGGAAGTCCCCATGGGCTATCCTATACGGGTACTCATAGGTCCTCAAGGGCTATCCTATGAAGGCACCCATAGGTCCTCAAGGGCTATCCTATAGGATACTCATAGGCACTGAAGGGAGTAAGGCAATAAGGGGACATGGCTATAAGGGTAAAGGGTATAAGACTAAGATCGTAAGGCTACGTGAACTATAAAAATATGTGCAATATAAAAGTATGAGGGCGTAGGACTATCTATATATATACATAATATTGAGTGTCTATATTTCTATTACCGAATGAGAAGTTAAACGTATGAGGTCATACGTTAAAGGACAAAACAGCCGTGCAGTGTGCACGGGCTCTCGCTAGTACTTACATATTCAATAATATATAATAACCATTCAAATTTTGAGACAGAAAGATATCTAAGTTGAGTACACATTGAAATAATATGAGCATATATTTTGGCAAGTGTTTTATATTCATCTCTAAAGTTTTCAAGATGTGCTAAATAAATAAAAAATTTGGATAGATTTTATTTATGAGAAAACGAACTTAACTTCATTTCAAATTGTAAATAAAAATTTTAAAAATAAGATTTTTATAACAAAACAAAACAAAAAAACATTTTGTTTTCATTTATATTTCAAGGTTCGTCTTACAGAAAATAAAATGAAATTATCTTTGATCATTAATATAAATTGTAAATGTTCTGCAGTGAAAAAATTTAATATATAGATGAAGTTCTACTAATGCAAAAGGAAAGAACAGAAATTTATTTATTTTCCTAATTGATTTTACATTCTAAATTATTTAAATACGACTCATCTACTCATATGAACTAGATGAAGGCTTTGAACTTTCCGAGAAAGAAATTTGATTGTATAGTGAATTTAAACGATCTAAAACTATTAAATATATAGAGTTGAGCTGATATGAAGTTCATAAACCAAAACATTTCAGTATATTTTTTGTCAATTTTGCAAACAAGAAAATGTATACATACGAAAACGACGATTATACATATGTCCAAGTCGAAGTTTTGTAACATTTTGAAATTGAATATTATTTATATTTAGTTGTTGGGTTTGGAATAATGTTGACAATGCCATTAATCTTTCTAAATATTCAGGAGAGCATCCTATGAAATCAAAAAACTTCATTAATTTGTTTACATAAATATTATTCAACCTGATTTTTATCATACTTTATTAAAGACAAACTAATAGCTAAAAAAAGAAAACACCTCTTGAACGCACGTACCTTTTAATTATATCATAAACAAATTTCTGGTATCAACTCATTTTCATTATAAGTCATATAATACCATGTAATAAAACATACTTTCCAAGAGTCCAACATATAGTATCGATCAATATATTACAACTCGAGTCGAATTCTGACCTTCACTATAGACGTGCATATCAATTAGATGATTGTAAAGAATCGATAGAGATCAAAAGAATGAATTCAATAATAATCTGTTAGATTATACACTTAATAACAGTTATGACGAAGAACAGTACAATATCATGTCTTTGTTCCTCAGTTTGAACCTTGGAAATTCGCTTATCAGCTTTAAAATCGATCATTAATATGTCTATTGAGAAAAACAATTGTCTTAATGTAAGAAAATCAACTGGGACTACAATAAATACATAACGAACTGCGAAAAAGACTAAATTTTCATCTTTAGATTTCAGCTTTCTTATTCGTTCGTGTTTTCCAAAACATTTGAAAATATTTACCTGAAATAAATGTGATACAGGAAGCATTAGGACATAATTTATTGAATTGCTCAAAAAATAAATAAATTGATGGACGCAAATAAATTTTAACATGAGCAGGTAACCATTCTACGAGAATCGGATGATCCCTGAATAAAACAAGAACATAGTTAGATTAAAAAAAAAATTATACATCAAATATCTTACATCAAAGCATCAAAAAATTGTAATTTTCTCAAAGTAGAAGAAAAAATATGTTGATATGATCCTTTCTGTTGATAAAAACATTCAACATTTGTCCATTGATGATCAATAAAGAAAGGATGAATTCGAAAAGAATTTTTTATTTTTTCAATATTACTTATTAACAATTGATACCGTATACAAATATAAAACTGGAAATCTCGAAGATTAATGATTTGATCAGGTAAACAATATTGACGAATAAAATTTGCATCAATAATAGATTTCCATATTGTTTGATCTTTTCTCCAAACATCGTCATTATATAAATGAATATCAAGTTTTGTAACATGATTAATATTATTAAGAAGCCATTTTAAATAAGTAAACTCGAGATCATTATAAATACAACTCTTCAATGTAAAACATTTCAATTTTGGTACCTATTTTACAAATAATTAATTACAACTTTCTTTGATAATTAAAAATACAATAGCTCAGCTATGAATGGACACAAAGAAAGTAACGAACTGATCCAGTTTATTATTAACATGTGACGAATATTTATTTTGAAGTGAAATTAGTGAAAAACAATTTTTAGTACTAGAGATATATTTTAATGATAAATTTCTTATAAGTGATAAGGTTCTCAACTGACAAATTGCCTTTGGGTTAAGGATTTACTAGTGGTGGTGCTATACTTCGATTGAAGTAGGTTAACTAACATTGGCATGCAAGACGAGATTATATTGAAAATTTTTTTACATGACAAATGGTGAAAATCTAAATATAATATTTATTTTACTTTATTAAACCAATTTCCATTTGGAAGTATTAAACTTTGAAGCTCGGAATCAGTGGGACTCCAATAACGTTGTAATTTTTTAAGATCAACTGATAATTGTTCAACATTAGGTATACGTTCAATAATATCTTCCAAAAAATCTGCATTATTCAAATGAATATCCAAATGACGTAAAGTTGTACAATAAGATTGTAATCCATCTGAAACTGTTTTTGATGGAAGAGAAGGATGTGATTTTAAACATTGATCAACACTATCAATTATTTCTTTAATATTAAGTTTCAAAGATGTTAATTGACATTGATCAGAAAATATTTGACATAAAAGTTGTTGAAACATTCTTTCTTTATCTTCTATTTAATTATTAAAAAGAATAAAATTAACATTCAATTTTCATATCTTTTTCGAAAAATTACTAAAAGATTTCCTTCAATGAATTATTATTTACTTTCAATAGAAATATTAGATACCAAATCTCCGGTATGATCAAATATTTCATTAATATCTCCATGAAATGTTAATAGAAGTTCATCTAACTGATATTTGATCAATGTTGATAAGATTTGAAGAATTGGTTGAGATAATAAACATTTAGTTATATAAAGCGATTTAAGATTAGGAAAATAAATTCTTTGTTTATCATTATGATAAAAAAATTTTTCATAAATAAAATCAAAAGGAATTGAATAAATTCCATCAAAATACATGGATTTTATATTCGAACAAAGAGATGATGAATTAAATATTAATGGAAATAATATCGATGAACATTTTTTATATGATAAACCTGGTTTATTAAATATAATTCCATATTTATTTATTGAAAATATCGAACAAATGAAAGAATTAATGCGTTCATTTATTGACCATAGTGATATTAATATATCATCCCATGATAAATAAGAAAATATATGTAAAAAGATCTCATTTGGCAATATTTCTAATTTATTAACCATTTTATCTAAAAATATAAAAATATAATTCAAATGTAAAATAATTATAATAAAGTAATTGTAATTTTACCATAAATTGCCTAGTTTACTACAATGGGACAGTTATCATTTACTAATGATAATTAAAGAGGTAAATATGTCTTCAGATAATCATCTAGATTTAAATTCATATTCAGTTTTTCTTGAGCTTCGAATTTTAATCAAATTATGTAACAGAAGCAGGCTTACCGATTAGGAAAGAGATAGGGGTGATTTCCCTCCCCTCCACAAAAATTGAAAGTGTTCGACTTTCTGCCAAAATTCTAAATACTTTCTGGGAGATTTTTTACAAATGCATGGTAAACTATGACAGAAACCTGGTTTTTAAGCTCTCTTTTTCCTTTTTCTGACAGAAAGTCAAATAAAAACACTTTCTGCCAACAAAATCTCGGAGAAGGTCTACACTTTTAGCATTCTTTGCTTCGTATCTGCCAGAAAGTCAAATGAAAGCACTTTATGCCAAATTTTTATCCCCTCCCACTCTTAAAAACAATCGGGAACCCTGAACAGAAGACACAATACAATAACTTTAAATTGACTTTTATTCTGAATAACTAATAGTTGTGAAATCTCAATATCAATGAAAAAACGCTTCTATCTTAATCTATATAATTCTACAAAAAGAATAATTCGTAATGTTCTACTGCCAATAAAGAAAATATATATATGATGACCAAAAATTTTTAAAATATCAGATGTCATAACTTACATATAATTAACTAATCCTACTTTGAAATAGAAAAGAATTATATTATGAAAAATATCAAATTTCAATGAAGAATATTTAAGTTATTGATAATAACACGATTCATTTTTCGATATAGAAAAAGAAAAGCAACTACGTTCTTTTTTATTTTGAAGAAAAGAAGTGAACGTCAATTGTATTAGAGAATGTTCAATGTTTGAGTTATAACCATATTTTATTTGTCAGACAGTTGTGAATACTAAAAAATATGTTTATATTTTTCTCTCAAAATAAATTCATCTGACGAAAAAGTTCATCACAAACAAACATGACGTAATATTGTACGATATATGTTTTTTTCCTTCTCCTTCAATATCTTGTCATTTCATTTCATTTCCTACATTGAAGAAAAAGACAAGAATAGAATATATCTCATGATCAAAATAAAAATTTAATGAAATTTTTTATTATTCCACTCTAAGTCTAATGATATTTTAATAAACTATAGACAATCATTAGAAGACAAAAGAAATCGCAGATGATGACAACAGAAGTTTGATTGAAGACTGAGAACTGAATAGAAAATTCTATTCAAAATGATGTTCACTCTCATGGAGTTAATATTCTTCGCTATGACACAAAGTAAATATTATAAATCATCATAATGAATAAAAAAAACATGATGAAATAGGACGTGTACAAATCGTATGATTATCAATGAAAAATATAAAAATTTCTCAATAAATTTGATGAAAATTCAAACAATCCTCTGTTTGTATAGCCAATATATTGGAATCAAATAGAATGGCATTCCAAGATGGTGATTTATACACATGTGAACCTTTCATTTCTCCATGATTGTTAATATGAAAAAGACACGAATTATTAGAATCAATCAGAAACTATTCATCATATTTTAGTGAACAACAGCGAATTGCTGGTTGAAATAAATAACATTTAATATCTGGTCGAAACGACTAAACAAGATCAAGAGTTGTTGACAATTGAAGTTCGATATGTACTGTAACGGGCAATGAACCCGTGAGTCTATTGACTGATGAAACAACACACAAACATGACTATATATGGCTACCAAAATAGGGAAGAACATGACCGATGTGTAATGTGGCCGGAAAGTAACCCCATGACCGGCATGGGGAGTGATGACGGATGAAATCCGTCACAGGTACCATATTACTAAAAGAATCTTCGATCATTAAAGCAAGTGTTTGATTGTTGTAAACAATGTCATGGATAAGTTCATGTTCTTGATATGAATGAGGAGGTTTCCATTGTTGAATTAGTTCAAATATCGATAAAAGATTGAATTCGAATATATTAGTACCACGAGCATTTGTCGTTAGAAATAAAGATGTATCTGAACATGTGCAAGAACACCAATCTTGTTCTTGAATAGTTTGAATACATTCAATTGATGTTAGATTTTCATTGACTAAATAAATTTTTTGATTGTTTGTTGTAAAAATAAAATTTTTTAATGTTGATGACCAACATATATTACGTATAAAACCATTTTTCCATTGATATTGTTTTTCAAGTGTTGAATCTTGATTGAATAAATGTAATATCAAACGTTTTTTTTGGAGGCAAGGCTTTTACTGATGTGAAAATATGACAATACAAAAATAAGAGACAGAAAAAAAAAGAAAACAACGGAATTTATTATCATAGAAAGCTGGAAGCAAAAGAAGGAGACACATGACGTAAATCTTTTGTCTCGGAGAGGGTGTGGGTCTAAAGAGAATACCCACAGCCACACCCCACCCTTTGATTTTATTTTATTTTTTAAGTCAATGATGAATCCACTTACATCATTTGGTAGTAATTCGAAATCGAATTCAAATCAAAATTTTTCAAGATCAATTTCACTTTCAATATTTGATCGTAATGAAAATGAAATTTCTATTCAAACAAATCTTATTGAACCTATTCAATTGATAATTCCTCGTGATCCAAATTTAATAATTCCATCAATGATTTTACAAAATGTAACATCAACTAATAATAATACTCCTCATAATCAATTATTTTATTTAAATTATATTAATATTACAAATAATATTACTGTTTCAATTCATTTTGAAGTGCATCCTTTCAATATAAGTCTTGCTTATTTATTCATTTATAAATTTGATCAAACACCTCTATTGAATAGTTCTATTAATCTAATTGATGGATGGACTCTATTTTGTCCTTCTAGTAAGTCTATTTTTAAAATAATTCTCTATACATATATCTATTGATAATTTCTAATCGTAGATTTGACTAATGAGAATATTGATAAATATTTCGTTAATAATCAACAAACATCCGATCATCAATCATTAATATTTGGTTTAAGAAAATTAAATTCAATAGAAATTATTGAATTTTGTTCAAATTCTTCATATACAAATCCACCTATTACTGATGAAAGATTTAATTTTACATCAAATTATGAACTTCGTATTTATACATCAGGTTGTTATTATCTTGATTCTAATAATAATTGGAAATCGGATGGATTAATAGTAAGTATCTTTTTTATTTGTAAAAGAAAATAGTTCGATATTTAATTAAAAAAAAAACAACAACAACAACAAAGGTTGGATCATTAACAAATCATTATGAAACGGAATGTTTTGCAACTCATTTAACAACATTTGCCGGTGGTTTTATTGTTTTACCTGCACCAATCAGTTGAAGTTATGTTTTTGCTAATGCTGATTTTATGCGAAACAAAACTATTTATTTAACAATTATATTGGCTTCGATAATTTATATCATTTTGATGATTTATGCTCGTTTTAAAGATAAAAAAGATATTGAAAAAGTAAATTGAGATTATTAATATGTTTATTTTTTGTATTAGGTGATGTTTTTTTTTTTTTGTTTAGTTGAGAGTCACACCATTATCTGATAATATAAGATCTGATCAATATTTTTATGAAATTCTTGTTTTTACTGGTCGACGAAGCAATGCTGGCACAAAATCAAAAGTAAAATTTTAATACAAAAAAAAAAGAAAAATTGATTTGAAAATTCTTCTTTTTTTTTTCTTTTACTAGATTCAATTTATTTTATCAGGTACTAATGATGAAACAAATGTTCGAACATTTTCTGATGCTTATCGAAAGATTTTTCAACGTGGTGGAATCGATGCATTTATTATGGGTGTTCCTAAGTAAATTAATTAATTAGTTAATTAATTTTAAAAAGAAAAACAAAATTGAATTTTAGATCATTAGGATTATTGAATTATATTCGTATTTGGCATGATAATTCAGGTAAAGGTTCATCAACATCATGGTATTTAAAATATATTATTGTTCGAGATTTACGAACAATGGAAAATTTTCATTTTATTTCTCAACAATGGTTTGCAGTTGAAAAAGATGATGGACTTGTTAGTTATTATTTTGAACTTTTATTCAGATATATATATATATATAGTTTTTTTGCTTTCATTGTATTAGATTGAACGTATTATTCCAGTTGCTAGTGAAATAGAAAAACGCAAATTTTCCCATGTTTTATCTAAAAAAGCTTATCATAGTATTTCTGATAATCATTTATGGTTTTCAATTTTTTCTCGTCCAGCTTCAAATAAATTTACACGTGTACAACGATGTACTTGTTGTTTTGTTTTATTATTTACTTCAATGTTACTTAATATAATGTATTATGATTTATCAACTGAAGCAAAATCGTCGAAAAAAACACATGGTAGTATTTTATCAATTGGTCCTTTACATATAACTCCTGAGCAGGTATGTGAACGTTTGAAGTAAAGAACTTGAAGAATTGTCTCGGCTGCACACATTTAGTTTATCGAACAAACAAAAACATTATGTGAACAGCAATAAGTAAATAAAATATAGTAATTTTCACTGTGATTAACAATCTACTATTTGTTACTATACGTTTATGAGATAATTAACAATAGATTATAGATTATTAACGAAATTGTTCAGAATGTACCTGATATATATCATGCTATATACGATATTGTTTTCAACATTCGTATCTTCTATCTAAACGATGTTATCCAAGTTTTGATCTCAAAATATCTAAATATTTCCTAGTTGAACTATATATGATAGGTAATCATTCGTATCTATTGTCATATTCATGTCACGAGCTAAGCAGGGTATTATATTCGTCTCGTTGAAGTGTGGGTATGGATGTCTTGTTTGTCCTTTTTTTTTCCTTCAACTAACTCATTAAATTTATTCAAAATGTTCTTATTTGAAAAACAGAGTTTGTTTTAAATGGTCATGTTTTCTTGTTTTGCTCTCTTTGACAGATACATACTGTATTAAGTGATTAAATACTTCTTATAGTCATGTCATTTCGCGATATATAATTACGTCATCTTCTTTTGCAAATAGCCTTCTTCTTCTTCTTCCAAACAATTACCATCATAACATTAATATGTAATATTATATATTCTCAAATTTATATTTAACTTCGGATTTTACGTTTTTTTTTTAAATCAAAGTTGAAGTAGATTTCTGTAGGTATTTGCTGAAGTTGAAACTGATGTCTTTTTCCAACTCCGATTGTACTCCTATTGATCTGATGAAAAAAAAACGACAGAGACACTTTTAAAAATTTATAGGTGAGATTGTTAAATAGTAGCTATTTGTAAAGAAAACTCGGTACATCGAACATCTATTTTACTGTTTCTTCATTGCTCGATAATAATCTAAAAGAAAATGGATTCATCATCTGATAAGCCTTGATACGTTCGTTTTGAAGTCGATTGTCACAAGCAGTATTATCGAAATCAACATTTATTAGATATTATCTAGATCTATTGAAATAGAGACTTTAAGATTCTTTGCAAAAAATTTATAAATCAATAATATTATTAATACTATTTATTAGTATTGTTTTCACGTGTATATATTCAAGAAAATTTATCTTCTAAAAGTTATATTGAAACGACTAGTTTAACCTGATAAGATTGAAGTTGGAGTTGTAGTAAAATCTAAAAACTAAATCAGAAGTGACAGATGAAATGTGATTTGAGGAAATAGAAATGAGTTATGTGAGATTGGTACAGAATATAGTCGGAGCTGACCATTTCTTAAAAATTCACTGTAACTTTAGTCTTCGATGATTTTCAACTCAGAGTTTTGAACATTAGACATACTTTCAATTAAATATATTACCTGAAATGTCTATTTTCGTCAATTAAAATAATTAAGAAAGAATTTTCTATTATGTCCGATGCACTATTCCTTCAGACGTATTCTTCGATATGAGAGATGGAGAGATGGAAATCTTCTATTATAGAAATGATTGTATTTAAATTTAAATAAAATCAGACGATGTCATTTGATAAATCAATATTGAATGTATTCGATCAATACAGTTGTATCTTTAGAAATTCATATTCATGGTAATATTATTTTTTTAAAAGTCTATTTCTTAAATTTGAGTTTATTCGAAAGGTTTTATTTAATTGAATTGTTTATTTAAGATTGGTATTGGTATCATGGTTGAATTGTTATCATTAATTCCAAGTCTTTTAATTGTTCAATTCTTTCGACGTATTCGAACTCGTCAACAAATTTCAGCAATATATAAGACGTTGTATACAATTAAACCATTTTTACAAATGTTAGTAGATTTTTAAATAAATAACTCTTTTTAAAATTTTGATCTCTTTATATTTTAGTAGTACTAAAAATGTTACTTCAACTAAGAAAAAACGAATTATAATAACATTTCCTTGGTGATGTTTATTTATTGCTTATGCTCTTTCATTTTTAATTATTGCTGTTTCAATTCTTTCTATTATTGCTCGTGGAATTGAATTTGGTGATGTAAAAACACAGAAATGGTTAACATCAATTCTTACTGGACTTTTTTCATCAATTTTACTTACTCAACCTATCAAAGTATAATTTTTATTGTTGTCAATTTAATTATTTTTAAATGTTTTATTGAAGATTATTAGTTCGGCACTATTTTTTGCTTATTGCATTCGAACTTCACATGAAGATGAAGAAGCAAATGAATATATAGACGATAATGGAATTGATTTAAATAATAATGAAGATTATCTTCATTCAATTGAGGTTTGTTTTTTATTTCAAATGGAAAAATAATCAAAAAATAAATCAAAAAATTTCCATTATGTAGTATGATTCTTTATATAATTTTCAATCTCGAAAACCTGTGAATCGTCTTAATGAAAATGAACTAGCTAATGCTCGTCAATATCGTTTAAAAGAAATTCAAAAGTGGTCAATTATTCGAGAATTTTTCATTTATTTAACATTTTTAACATTAATTTGTATAATAGCTTATTCAAATCGTGACTATAATAGTTTTCTTCAAGTTCATCATTTACGAAAATATTTTCTTAATTCAAGACAAATTAATTATGATTATACAAAGGTTTATCATTTTTATTTCCATTTTTTGGTTCTTTTATACGAATAAATCTTTTATAGATTTCAACAATAAATGAATATTGGAAATGGTTAGAAAATAGTTTTGTCTCAAATCTTCGTGCTCAACAATGGTATAATGGTGATACTCCACGAAATTTAAATGGTTATATAAATGATAAATCGAATCGAATAATTGGCTGGTCAATAATGAGATAATTACGAGTTAAAACAAATTTATGTTTTGATCAACGTATTATTTCAAAATGTAAAAAAGATTATAGTTTATTTGATGAAGAAAAACATTCATTTCAACCAGGATGAATTAATCAAACATCAACAGAAATAGAATATAGTTCATCAATTTTGAAAGCATTTAAATATACAACAAGTGATAAATTAGATACATATATTTATATAGGTCAACATGAAACATATAGTGG